TGAGAGTGTTATCCTCATGATAAATATCAAACTAACAAGATTTTATGAACTCTTGATCATTGCGCCTAATCCTCTCAAAAGAAGTTGTTCACAAATACTTAAAAGAGAAAAGTGATGAGGAAGAAAGGTTAGGCTTTTAGCAGAGGCCATTTCCCTTTATAGGTGACCGAATTAGGGTGTTTGATTGAATAAGAACTTTCATTAGGTTTGAGAAGATGGGAATGGGATTTAGCAGGAAGGAACTTAGAGGGAAAGGGAAGAGAAGGTATTATGTGGCCTTTTTGTCAAAACGACATTGTTTATGGCTGTCTTGACATTTTTTTTGTCAGGGAGGCCTGAATTTCTGTTTCCTCTAAAGCATATATATGTAATCCAAAATAAGTAAATAAATAAATATCAAATTTTATTTGACTGGTTTTAACATTTATAAAGATTGATGAATTAATATAGATATTTCTCAAATTCCTCATATTTTTAATTTATTCATAAAAGACTTATTTCGCATCATCATCACATTTTTTTTTACGTTTACATTCAAAACAAATATATATATACACATATTCTATTAATTAAAAAAATATTTTTGATAAAACAAAAACAATTCTATATGAAATAAAATCAAACAATTTACACAAAAATCTTCTTCTCTTTGTCAAGCTTTTTTAGACATCACTTCCTCGTGCACAGTTTTTTCCAACAAAAAAAAAAAGTTCATGAGGAAAAAATTAAAAATGATAAAAATAAATAATAAATAAAAGTTGTAATAGTGTTATAATGATGATGAATAAAATTGTAATCCTATGTTTTTATTTTTCATTAAAATTAGGCATCTATTCATCTTCCTTTGATTTAACTCATTCATTATATAAGTAATGAAGGCTAATAACAATAAAATAATTGAGAATATTAAAAAAAGAAGTAGCAGTAGAAGAGAAGAAGATGAGAAGGTAAAAAAGTAAAACTAATATTATTAATATGTATATTTATTATATTTTATTGTAAAGATACTATATTTTCTTTTTTAATTTTAACAAAATATATTTTTTATAACTAAAATAAAAATGAAAAATTATAGTGCCTACTTAATACTTGAGTGTAACATTTTTTATAATATATAGATATAGATAGATAGATATGGATATAGACAGTAAATCTAAGAGATTTTTTGCCTTTTGATTTTCTTTTTTTATATATAAATTTTATTAGTTGTTAATTTAATAATCAAATAATTTTTACCTTTTATATATATTTTTTCTTCTTAAGTTATTTTTAATCCTTATATAATCGAATTCATTATCCTTAAAAATTGATGTTAAGAAGTGTCAATTGTTATTTTAACAAAAATGAAAATCAAACCATATTTATTCTTAATATTTGAGATCTACATGAAGTATTATTAAATAAGCAAAGGTATTTAACAATTCTCTCTCTCTCTCTCTCTCTCTTTTGTTTTGTTACATTAGTTTTTACTAACTCTTTATTTTAACTAATTGCTTAACTTGCAAAATTTTGTTTTATGGTTATTTTGCTTGTCCTTTCTCTCATTTCCATTTTCTTTTCATTCCTATTTTATTCCTTTAACTTGTATTACAAATGTTTTTAATATATTAATATAAGTACTCAAATTAAAATTACAAAAAAAGGGGGGGTTATTTGAATGAGATTTTAGTGCAATTGAATGTATATTCTCAAATATATATATATATATGACAATAAGATTGGATATATATACTGTTTAAAAGAAATATGAAATAGAACTTATATTTAAAATGAAAAAAAATTAATAATAGTATAATATGAATAAAATAAAAAACATAATATTTTCTTTAAAAAAAAGTAATATTTTCATATACCTTGATATTTATCAAATTTATACTTTTATTATTCAATTCAATGTATAAATTAATACTATTATTGCTTTGATGGACTCCAATCTCATG